GTTGTTGTTTAGGACCACAATCTTTAACCGATCGTTGAGTTGTGTGGAGTAATAGCCGCCCGTTTTAAATGCAGTTTTCGCGGACACAGTGTTTATCCATTGCGACCAATATTTGTCAGCCAATGTATCGTATAACCAACTCAAAGACATTTGACCCTTTGATTTGATGGACACCTCATTTGGCACATACCTTAACATTTGATAATAATAAAGACAATGATAATATATCAAACAATTACTAAATGGTTACTTACATATTGAAAGGGTAGGGCTCGTGGTTACCAATGATTGGGAAAACACTTTTTCCATTCAAGTATTTCTTAACCAAATTAGTGGTGGCATAGATATGATCGAGATTTTCCTCTACAGAACAGTTCCAGCCATCGTGTGGTACACTATCTCCCGTCCAAATCACAAAATCCAAGTCTTTGTGATTGTTTCCGATATGTTTGACGGCCTCTTCGGTAAAGGATAGGGGAGTATCGCAAACGGACGCCGTCTCAGACCAATAACCGGCCGAATAGTTATGTCCGTGAGATGTGGACCGACAACACATGGGCTCATCGCACAGGGCGTTAGAACCGGGAGTGTAATACAGATCCAGATGAATATCAGTCATGTGCAACATTTTCATTTGTTTTCCTGAGTCGGGGCTCGGATTAAATGGTTTGGGTTTAGGCAACGGTAAAACCCAATTCACCTAAATATCGATTAGATTCAATTTCATCAGCAATTTGTTAAACAATTAAAAATAATTAATATAAAAAGTAATTTAACATAACATACGGCTTGAGTGACATTTAATCCCAAGTGTTGCATACATTGGGGGTCTAATAAAACGCCGCACATCTCTGGGATAGTTATGGTTGAATTTTGCAATATATATACGACCGGATCGGACATAATGTTTAATGTGCCGACACATACGCGGTTTGGTTCGACAACACCCGGTGTCTTACATATGGTCTTTGCGGCCGATTTCAACACATCCGGCGTTTTGAGGACCAGTTTGGCAGTGGTTAGAGCGGAGACACAGTCATTACACGCTTGCTTAGTGTGATTTCCGTGATCTATATTTGATCGCAACTTATTCAGTAACTGTAATTCGTAATTCATATGTAATTATATTAAAATATGCTGTATGTAAATCATAAATGTGTTTTAAACATTGAAATACCTGAATGACTTCCAATACATCATGTTCATCTAATACATATCTGTCTTCTTCCGCAACAAATTGATACAATTCTGCTCTCAATTGATCCAAATTTATATGATTTTCTTCACATCTTATACTCGATATGAATAAAAGAGTGAAAATAAAATATAACTGCAATAAGAAATGCATTGTTTGCGTTATGAATACCAATTGGATAGTGTTTAACAAATATAAAGATCATAACATAAATACTAAAGTATAACAATATTTCATAATGTTATTTAAGCAGTAATTTATTGATAAGTAAAGCCATTAGTTTATTAGCAATCTTATAGTAGAATTCTTATCATTAATTTCGTAAATATTAACTAAAATTGTTTATAAATATTTAGATAAAGTATAGTATTTAATTTGATTTGCCTTTAGATACTGTATAAACATGTGTTGTGAACAGACATTGAACGGGTTTGTGGTCTCATAGAGTTTGCATTATAAAGTGGCCACAAAATGCCTGTTCGGTGCCCATTGACCACAATTTGATATTAATGACAGAAATTATTATTAAATCTAATTTTAATTAATGAAAAAATAAAATATATTTCATAAACGCTGTGTAATATACAGTGAAGTTTGCAGAAGGATTAAAGTGTCAAATATTATGATTGGGATTATTGTTGTGACGCTTGTATCCATCGATTGATAGAAAGTGATATTAATTGCAAATGATTTCGCTATAAAAATGAGTTTTGCTATCATTACTATTATTATAAGCAGTTTTAAATGAGGATTAATTATAATTATTGAACTATTTATCTAATAAAAAGATTTGAGGCTAACAAAACTCTTCAAAATAAACATCACATTTACACAAAAAATATCATGTTCGAAGTTATCCTGTTAGTTATACAGTATTGATATTTATCAATTCCATTATAATAAATGTCAAATATTAATATATTGTAAAATTATTAATTAAACTTTAATTCATACGAGTGTGGTATTAAAATATTTTAAACAAATAATAATTGTAAATTATAGTGAGAATACAATAAATACACAAATTCTTGTAATAAAAATCGTTAATAAACTGTAACACAGAATAATGCATATCATATGCAGTATATGAAGGTAAATATTCAAGTAAATTGACAGCAAAGGAAATTTTAAATGATATATAAGTATTAAATTAAAACCATTAACAAAATAAAGTTGTTTCAAATCTTAAATATATAAAGATTTGCATAAACTTTGATTTAATAAAGAAAATAGAGATTACAAATCAAATTACACATTAAGTACTTTTATTGGCATTCTTATGAATTGACATTTTAAACCACAATTGAGCTATGAATAATGTGGTTTATTGGATGGTTCGGCATCCGTATGTATAACATTACATAATTTAAAATTTAAAAATATCAATGCAATAATCAATAATTGTTTTAGAAATTATTAAAAAAATTACAAATATATTTCATCATAATTACGACAAATATAGTAATTCTTACAAATTGTTAGTATAAAATTAAAAAAGTTTTTAAATGTATTATGCATAATAAAAAAGGTTCTTGTAAACAAAAACTTGAAACATTTATAAAATTACAATTTATTATGGAGTACCTACGCTGCCATTAAAGTTAATAGAGTATTCACATATCAAAACATTATATAAATGACAATTTTAGATTTACAGTTTGTAAACTGTTTTTAATTAATTTGTAACCATCCATTCTAAATTGTGTCTACCATAAAAATAATTTAATTATAATAATGCTTTAACACAATATGTTTGAATTCAATGTTAATCATGTATTGTTAATATAGACGACAGGTTAGGGGCGCCTCTTTATAGAGAGGATTCATTATACGACTCCTTTTTCTTAAACATTGTCGCAATCCTTGCATACTATATGTGCCAATGATTTTGAGTTGATTTATAAACGATTCACTATATCTATGAAAATGATTGAAATATAAGTTCACGAGTTTGTCCTCTGTTTGGGCTTTTGTCAAGAACTGGTGCCACGAGTCGGTTGTCAGTGAATCCAAGCCGTAGACCTTTTTCAGTGCCTTTTCTGAACTCCATTTCGGGATTACATTTTTACCGGCGATGTTATCGGCCGTCATATTAGTGTAGTATAAGTCGTAATCCAATGCTTTACCCTATGTTTTAATTGCGATAAATTTAATAAAAAATAATTAAAATTTTGCACTAAATATTGACATACATTGCTATCCAAAGTGAATATCTTATATCCGGGATTCAGACGACTAAAAGTGGTGAGACTGGAGCCGACATAACCGTGTGATATGGGATACGTCTCATTAGTGATGAGATTCTTGGTGTAAAGCACTTGTATCTCATCGTAATGTGTGTGACCATAATATGTGCTCACTATTACATTCGCATACCTCTCAACAATTCTCATATAATTGTTTCCCCACGACTCATAACAGGCAGACATTGGCTGATGAGCTACCAATGAACAAAACAATTAGTTAATAGCTCTCTTAATTTACAAATAAGATAATATTTGAAACATACTTAATATCAAAACATGTATTCCCTGAGTCTCTGCGCTGTCCAACTCGTCAATAAACCACTTGAGCTGTCCGTCCGGATCGACCGGATTATAAGCGACCCAATAGTTACGTCCGCCGCAGATGTTATTGTTTAGGACAACAATCTTCAACCGATCGTTGAGTTGTATGGAGTAAAAGCCGCCCCTTTTAAATGCCTTCTTAGCGGACGCAGTGTTTATCCATTGCGCCCAATAGTCGTCGGCCAGAGTGTTGTATAACCAGCTCAACGACATTTGACCCTTTGATTTGATGGACACCTCATTTGGCACATACCTTAATAATTGGATCATTTACAACGGGCTAATTTTTATACACATTAAAGGTATTTACTTACATATTGAAAGGGCAGGGCTCGTGATTACCAATAATTGGGAAAACACTTTTTCCCTTAAGGTATTTCTTAACTAAATTGGTTGTTGTGTTGATATGAAGAAGATTTCCCGTTTCAGAACAGTTCCATTCATCGTGTGGTACACTATCTCCCGTCCAAATCACAAAATCCAGGTCTTTGTGATTGTTTCCAATGTGTTTGACGGCCTCTTCAGTAAAGGATAGGGGAGTATCGCAGACGCCCGACATCTCAGACCAATAACCGGCTGAATTGTTGTGTCCGTGAGATGTGGACCGACAACACATGGGCTCATCGCACAGGGCGTTAGACCCGGGAGTGTAATACAGGTCTAGATGAATATCAGTCATGTGCAACATTTTCATTTGTTTCCCTGAGTCGGGCCTCGGTTTGAATGGTTTGGGTTTAGGCAACGGTAAAACCCAATTCACCTAAATATCAATGAAAATAAATATAAAATAATATTTTATAATAAATACGTTTGATATTCATCTGTGTAAAATATTTAGATATACATACGGCTGGTGTGACCGATAGCCCCAAGTGTTGCATACATTGAGGATCTAATAAAACGCTACACATCTCTGGGATAGTTATGGTTGAATTTTGAAGTATATATACGACCGGATCAGCCATAATGGTTAACGTGCCGACACATACGCGCTCTGTTTCCTTCACACCCGGTGTCGAGCATATGGTCTTTGCGGCCGATTTGATCACATCTGGTGTTTTGAGGATCAGTTTAGCTATGGTTAGAGCTGTGACACAGTCATGACATGTCTGGTTATCATGCTTTTGGTAGTAAATGTCATTTCGCAAGTTATTCAATAACTAAAAAATATGATTTCTTAATATTTCAAATAACCATGATCACTAATAAATTTAAAACATTACTGTACCTGAATGGTTTCCAAAATATCATAATCGACAAATAAATGTCTGTCTTCTTCGGCCACAAATTGATGCAATTCTGTTCTCAATTGATCCAAATCTTTATTAAATTCTTCACATCTGATACTCGATGCGAATAAAATTGCAAAAATTAAATATATCTTCAATAATATGTCCATGGTTTGTTTTGTGAATATTCATTGGTGTTGAGATTTATGTATTTATATGATTTATGTACCAAATGTTGTCAAATCATTCTTGCAACATTCTAATCTAAATGATCATGGTACGCGAGGTACATTACTGTGTCATATTAAAGCCAATGTTATACAGTGAACCCATTTAAACTCTGTACACAATACACACAATATACTGTATCAGTGCATTGCAGTGTTTTAATGCGTTCACTGCATTGCAATTGTGTTGTACGGACGGTGTATGCATAGGAATTGAACACCTTTTATGGGTATCTTTTTTAGATAACAATCGGTTCGTATAAATGCATTTGCATGAGATTAAAGCTATGACTAGGGCAACCGTTCGGATGCTTTTTGGATGCTTTTTTCATAGTTTTGAACACAATAATGACTATTACAACTATTTATTCATTTTAAAGCACAAGTTAAATACTATATGTTATGATTTTTTGACTAATTCATGGCTTTTATTTAGTCTGCATATTAAATGACTCATATTTTGGTTGCTCTAGCTATGACCCTTTTATATTTCTATAAAAACTAGCTATTATTGAGAAATTTCATATCTAATCTATTTGTTATAATGATGTAACTTTTAAATAATCGTTACATAATTACATTTTGAACTTTAACTAAAGGTCTATTAAAAAGGTACGAGTGATAAAGATTATATGTTTTGTCCAGGTTCATTTCTACACAAATAGATCGGTTAAATTTGATGAATAAATTACGTTTAAGATTCGTCCGAGATTTTATTTAGAAAAGTTATACTGTATATAAAATGATATACATTTTTGATGTTGTGCATTACAAAAATTGTTTACCTTCATCATATTGTTTTTCATTTTGTAGTTCAAATCATACAGACCGAGGCGTCCGCCCTACAGTTGTTCACATACTCTGTACATACCGTAAAAAACAAGACAATTATTACCGGCAATACTATTCCACATCAAGTTCAAATATGATTCATTGTAGTTTGTAATGGAAATATAAGTTTTAGTTTGTAAGTTTTAGGGGTGAGAGTAATAATATGTAGTTAGTATATATCTTGATTCAGAAAAAACATATTTGAACTTGATGTGGAATAGTATTGCCGGTAAAAATTGTCTTGTTTTTTACGGTATGTACAGAGTATGTGAACAACTGTAGGGCGGACGCCTCGGTCTGTATGGTTCAAATACCTTAAATAAGTTTTGAAAATTGAAATTTCTTAAATTGTCTTTATTAATTTTAAGTTTGAGTTAAGAAATAAAAATATGGTTAATTTTTAATTAAAATATTGTATTACTATTTATAATTATTCGGTAATAAAGAATAAATAGGATTTAGTGTCCGTTTATTAAGCAAAGTGTCTCTTTTATTCTTGATGTTATATTCGCCTGATTTGGTCTTTTCATGGATGTAGTCATCACTGAATCGGTGGTAATGATTGATATAAAGCTCGACGAGTCGGTCATCCTTTTCGGCTCTCGTCATAAACTTATCCCACGATTCAGTGGACAGAGAGTCCATACCATAGATCTGTTTCGCAGACGTGTCTGATTGCCATTTCGGTTGCACTCCTTTGCCTTTAATGTTATCGTCAGTTATATTAGTATAAAATATATCCCAATCTAAAGGTTTTCCCTTTAATAACAAATGAATAACAAAATTAAATAAATATTAATTGAAAGTTGTTTTACAAATTGAAAAATAACATACATTACTATCTAATGTGAATATTCTGTAACCGGGATTCAGGAGGTTATATGCGGTAAGACTGGCGCCGATATAGCCGTGAGAGACGGCATACGTGCCATTGGTTTCATGGTTTTTGTTATACAAGACAACGATCTCGTCATTGTGTGTGTGACCGAAATATGAGCTCACAATCAGGTGTTGATACCTTTCCATAATCCGGAAGTAGTTATTACTCCACGCAGTATAACAATCAGCCGGAGGGACGTGTCCTTACATTTCATATAATATTTTAATTAATATAAAGAATTAATATAATAAAAAGAAATAATAATTTAGTTAAATATTAAGTAATAAATATTTAATACCTAATAGCATAACATACGAGCCATCAGTTTCAGCACTGTTGAGCTCATCGATGAGCCACTGGAGCTGTCCGTCCGGATCGATGGGATCGTAAGCGATGTAATAGTTTTCATTTTGACAGATATTGTTGTTCATTACAACCACTTTCAATGTATCGCTAAATTTCTTTGAAAAATATCCGCCCTTTTTGAAGGCCTTCTTCGCCGACTCCGTGTCTATCCATTGTTTCCATAGATCGTCGGCGAGTGTGTCGTACAGCCAT